CTTCAGGAGGATTGATCTGTGGTTCTGTGAAGTAGTACTTACCTCTTTTGATGGAATTATAGCTTTTAGTATAGCTGCAGATGTGTTATTCTTTATAATGTACTTCACATGTCTTTTTAGAAAAATAACTAGAAGTAAACGAAGAAAAAAGTTTTATGTTAATTATATGCTAAATGTCTCTTTTACTGTGCTTACTTGTAACATTTTGTAACAGTGGATTTTATTAGAAACACTATTTTCACATTACTTTTAAACAAAATGTCCTGATCTACATTTAACAAAGTCTCTGAGGTTCAGACTGAGTACAGCATTATTCAAATTCAGTGCAACTGATCAGACTTCACAATCTTTGAGTATCATGTCCAAGCAGTTTCATACCCCCATCACATACCTATATGCTAAATGTGATATTCCAGTTAATAATTAATGACAGACTGTCAAACACATTTATTTGCCCACTGTCCAAGAGCAAGCTGGTAGGAATCAATCCGTCAAATTTACATTTAAAAAAACATGTATTGCTAGCCCTCGAGGAAAAATGAAACACAAGAATGTCCATACCAGCAGTTCATCTGACCTGGTATCCTGTCTGCTGACAAAAGACAATGCCAGATACTTGAGAAGTAACAAACAAAATATGGCAATTATTGAGTGATCAATTCTTTGCCATTCATTACCAGCTTCTGATAACCAGAGATTTAAGATTAGTGATAGAAATGTAGCCATGTTAGTCAGGTGTAGCTGAAACAAAAAACAGGACTATGTAGCACTTTAAGACTAACAAGATGGTTTACTAGGTGATGAGCTTTCGTGGGCCAGACCCACTTCCTTAGATCAAATAGTGGAAGAACATTGTCACAACCATATATACCAAAGGATACAATTTTAAAAAATGAACACACATGAAAAGGACAAATCAAATTTCAGAACAGAAGTGGGATGGGGGGGACAGTCCTGTTTGCAGCAGTCAGGGCAGGCTACGGACAAGGACTGCTCAGACAGCAGCCCCTATCCGTAGCTATCCCTAGCTGCCGTGAACAGGGGATGGTGAAGGAGCAGCCTCCGTTCACAGCTGTCAGGGCTGGCTGCAGGAAGGGGCTTCTCAGGCAGCAACCTCTACCCATGGCCATCCCTGACTGCTGCAAACAGGGCAGGGCCTGACTGACTGGGAGGGGCTGACAGGGGCTAGGGGGGAAAGGGAGGAGAGCTGATTAATCACCTGTGAAGCAGTGTGCTGCACAGCTTAGAGCAGTGGTCACCAACCAGTACATCAGGATCTACTGGTAGATCTTGGAGCCTCAGACAGGTGATCTTGACTAGTTTGGCCAAGAGGCTATCAAGTGCGGGCACTTCAGCTTCACCGCACAGCTGCACATCTCCTGCCCTTTGTCTTGGAACGACCCTTCCCTGGGAGCCTCCTGCTTGCAGTACAGAGCAGGGAAAGGAGAAGAGGGGTGCTTATGTCAAGGTGCCCCCCTCTCCTCCTGTATTCTATCTCCACAGAGCAGAGAGGGAGCACAACAGGGCTTGGGATGGAGGGAGTTTGCTGGTTGCTTTTGACAGTGGTGCAGGGCTAGGGCAGGGGTGAGCTTGCATTAGCCTCACTGCACCACCACCCAGGAGCCACCTGTGGTAAGCAGTGTCCAGCTGGAGACAGCGCCAATCCTCTGCCCCAGTCATGAAACCCCGCCTGTGCCCCAAACTCCTGCCACAGGCTCAGTTCAGAGCTCCTCTCACACGCTAAATCACTTAGTCCAAGGCCAGAGCCTGCACCCCAATCCTCTGCCCCTGCCTGATGAAAGGGAGGGAGAATAGAGGTGGAAGGGAGGGAGGGAGGGAGGATGGAGTGAGCAGGGGCAGGTCCTCGGAGAAGAGGCACGAAGGAGGTGGGGCAAGGATATTTGGGTGTGAGGTAGATCTTGGATTGCACTTAAATTCAAAAAGTGATCCTATGCCGAAAAAGTTGGAGACCCCTGGCTTAGAGAGAACACTGGTTAGGTCTATCAATGGCTATTAAGCATGATGGGTAGGAATGATGTCCCTAGCCTCAGTCAGAGGCTGGAAATGGATGACAGGAGAAGGATCACATGATGATTACCTGTTCTGTTCACTCCCTCTGGGGCACCTGGCATTGGACACTGTTGGAAGACCAGATACAGGGCTGGATGGACCTTTGGTCTGACCTAGTATGGCCATTCTTATGTTTTTATGTTCCTATGTATGAAAGCTTACTGTGAAGGGATTTCACAAAACTGGGTGAGTGGTCAACAAAATGGTATATGAAGTTTGGTACTGATAAATGCTAAGTAATGTACATTGCAAAACACAATTCCAAGTATATGCACAAAATGTCATGCTCTAAATTAGCTGTTATCATTCAAGAATGAGATATTGCAGTCATTGGTATGGTTCTCTGAAAACATTCACTTCATGAGCACATGCGGTTAAAAACGCTAGCCAGAAGCTAAGACTAAAAATATCATAATTCCATTATAAAATCTACAGCACATTCATGGTCAATCCATGTTACCAGAGGCTGCTTGAAGACCAAAATGTATAACTGTTCAAAAAAGAATCTAACATACAGTTTATTGTCCTTATTTACATAATAAGAGTTGACTGCTGTAAGGGACAGAAATATTCAGGAACAAGGTAGGAAGTATGAGAAATAAGCAATAGAAGGGTTCAGTGAGAGAGAAGGGGAAAAAGAAGACAGATGGGAAAGATGCAAGAAGAAAAACTGTGCAGAAGGCTTACAAAACATTGAGCTATCTCCATGGTCCAGAAACTGTTAAGAATACAAGACTGAACTTAGTCCCTCATGGTGACTGGGTATGGAGAAAATGCACTTCAGTTCCAAGAGGAAGAAGCAAAGTTGTCTGTGTAGCAACCCTCGCATGAAACAGAAATATCAGAATTTAAGAGTTCTAGACCACAGGTTCTAAACTTTTTTCCCCTTCTTGCTGTGCATCTATTTCTAATCATCAGTATTTCACAGCAGCTGGTGTCCAAGAGTGATTCCCAGACAAGATGCCACCCTGAACCTCAGCCCGTGAACATCCCTTGCCTGCTCCAGGCAGTTGACTGCAGCAGAACACAAAAGCTCAGCTGCAGCTTTCTCCTCATGTCCATGACTCACTCACAGACCACAGGCTCTTCCAGCCTTGGCATAATCCCTTGCATGCAGGCACAAGACCCTGAATGGCCAGAAAGGAACTACCCCCCCCACAGTAACTAAAATGCCTCTCCCCCACCTCCTGTGAAAGAAGAAGCTAAACCCAGGGGCAATGTTTAGGGGACACCAAGGGAAATGTGCCCCCATGTCATGGGCAGGAGGGGCCAGGAGTAAGGATGTTAAATATCGGTTAATTTACTAGTAGAGTACTCGATGGAATTTCCATCGACTGCTCGACTAATCTATAGGCATTTCCGCATTCCTCTTTTGAAATGTACAAAAGCCCTGGCTGGGGCTCTTGTACATTTCAAAGGAGGAATGCAGAATATGGCATGCAGCCCGGGGGCTGCACACAGGCATGCCAACTTTGAAATGTACAAGAGTCCCCAGCAGGGGCTCTTGTGCATTTCAAAGTGCAAGCATGCTCATGGAGCCCGCGGTCAGCAGGGCACTCAGACCCCGAGCTCCATTTTGCACTGCTCATTTGAAATGCCATACAATGCAACTAATTCCAGACTCCATGCAGCATTTCAACAGAACCCAGGATCAGCTGGGACTCCCAGCTGAACGAAGGTTCCGCAGAGAATTTCCCAGAACCCGGGATCAGCTGATCCTGGGTTCCATGGAAATGCGGCGTGGAGCCCTAGCTCAGCTAGGGAGTCTCTAGCTGACCCCGGGCTCCATGCAATGCTGCTGCTTTGAAACACCGTCTCGGCATTTCAAAGGGGTCAGCACCGCACAGTTGATCCTAGGCTCAGCTGTGCAGTGCTGCCGCTTTGAAATTCCCCCCTCCCCTCCCCATTTTGCTGCCTCTAATAGAGGCAGCAAAGGGGGGTGGGGACTCGACTTGCTGACTGACTATCTGTAAGCATTTGCTTACTGGATAATTGTCTAGTCCTTAACATCCTTAGCCAGGGGTCAGCAGCTGATGGGACCAGAGCCTCTGGGCATCCGGGGGACAGCTGGTGCTGGCAGCAGGGTTCAGCCTTCCTGCACTAAATGGTAGCAGTAGGGGAAAGAAAAGTGTTGTGGCTCTAGCTCCCTCTGCTCTCCTAGTTCATTGCTCAGGGGAGGTTGTGGGTGAGACCATCCCTGCACTCACCAGTGCAAAGCTGAGCAGTATGCCCTGGAGCAGACTGTCCCCTGGGCTGCACCGTTTAGGTTAGGGATTTGGGAAAGAGGTGGGGATGAGTGGAGCAAAAGTAGGAAAGGAAGGGTACCTGTGTTGGAGCGCGCTGCCCTTCCCCAGAGCTAGGGTTGGCAGTCATGCAGCCAGTGGCCCAGCATGACTCCCTATGCCGGTCACTCCTGCCCTCTAGGACAAGTGTGCAGCCCCTCGCAGCTGCAGGGCAGAACTGCTCTGGGCCCTTCGCAGCGCTGCCTGCCGCGAAAGCCCCCTTAAAGGTCAGGCACGTGCTGCTGCTCCTGCGGTCAACAGGGAATACGTCGGGCTCGTCCGCAAAGGGCGGTGGGGAAGATACACCAACCCACACGGGTTGAAAGTTTTCTCCTGGGGGAGGTAAGTGGGGGGTGCGTGCCCCCCCCCCCCAGTTCTCCTCCCCAAGGCCCAGGCCAGCCCCCTCCTCCCCCAGGCCGCGCCTCCCCTCGCCCCTGCCCAGACCGTCTCCTCCCCCAGCTGCGACCATCTGGGGGACTCCTGGGAAGAAGCCCCACGACTCCCCCCCGCCCCGCTGCAGGCCGGGTCCCAGTTTGGGGGCGGGCCCCGGCGGCTGCTCCCTTACCCGGAGTCGGACGGGCGCTAACGGCCGCTCAGGGCGCCTGAGGCACAGCGGGAGATCGGCCGGCGGACTCCACCCAGAGGCAGCAACATGGCGCCGCGCCGGCCAGCCGCGACTGTGCTGGGCGCATGCGCTGTAGGCCGCGCGGGAAGTGAGGCAGGAGGAGCCGCTTCCTCTCGCTGAAGTGGGGCTCGGCTGATGCTGGGCCACGGGCCAGCATGAGCCTCGCCCTCTCCACGCACCGGGGCCAGCCGTGGGGGGGCGTGGTCTGGCTGGCAGGGCTCCCCAGAACCCTTCACCAGGCCCTTCTCCAGAATGAGGACAGGCTAATACCCAGCCCCTCTGGAAACCCACCTGTAAAACGTGCTGCCCTGCTCCTGCAAGCCCCTCTTGCCACAGTGTCCCCTGCCAGCTGCCCTCTTGGGTTCACATGGGCAGCTCCATCTTCTTCCCAGTAATGAGCAGAATCAAAGCGGCTCCAAAACAGACAGGCTCTCTCAGCATCTAATGAGGCGGCCTCACCCTTGCAGGAATAGGGAGCTAGCCCACAACATCTGTGAGGGGCTGCTATTTGGTGCCAAAATGAATGGGATGAATTAATGTGGGAATCATAGTTTAAAAGCATGTGGCCCTCACCGTTGCTGGTTTTACTGTCACAGCTAGTCAGGGGTCGTGGTGGATAATAAAAAGCTAGTCCTGGCAAGCTTGGGTGAAATTAAAACTTTCTGTGCAATGAATGGAAATATTCCTATTTGAAAATTATTAGTAGTATAGGATTGGGAAAGAGAAGGGACTATTTGGTCTTGATGTTCTATGTTTTGTCCAAATCAGAGGCACGATCATGCCAACCTAGAGTTACTTCTCTTTAAAACTCATGGCTTTTATGGTTTTTGTATTTAAAACATTCATGATAGCAAAGTTCAAATATTTTGTATCAATAATTCAATTCCTTAACATAAATGTTTCCAAATGACCATCACTCAGCTGCCTAAAAGGATGGAAATGTATGTGTCTAGCATTACTTCATAGTATGACAGTTATTAAATTTGCCTCATTATATGATCATTAATAAACTTGTCCCCTTTCTATATTTTTCCTGTTTTTGCAGGAAAGACAATCCATCATATATGAGCATTTTGAACATGTCTCCTATGCAGTCTTGTTAGTAGTACATGGTGCATTAATGTCCAGGAAGGAGATGTTTACATTTAATCTTTCAGGATAGAGAAACTCACTAACTCTTGGCTAGACACCAAATTCTAGCCCTCATTTACTTCTAAGTGTTGTACCAACCTGGAAATGCCTTTGTACTGCCATGGAGATGTCAATTATTTAGGTGTGTGAAGTCATGCCACTTTCCAAGAAGCTACTGTAGCAGTATCCCTGATGGGGTCAGTGGTTGGTTTTTTAAGCAGCTTAAAAGGGATGAAGTATTTTTAAATGCCTATATGAATGAATGGCAATGAAAGCTGTAAAATATGTACTAAGGTCTGATGCAAATGAATAATAGCATTTCCAAATAAAACTAAAACATCTGGGCTAGATTCACAAAAAAGACTTAGGTACCCAATTGCTACTTTAGGTGCCTAAATCCCAGAATTAAACCTTTCTGAGATTCACAGAAACCCCATTTAGCTGCCACCTAACCCTGCAAGCACCTAAACTTACTCATTGTCTCCATATTTGCAGGAAAAATTATCTGTGCTCTTATTTTTCTGCCTCCTTCCAAGTGTATTACAACCACACACCACATGATCATAGAATCATAGAATCATAGGACTGGAAGGGACCTTGAGAGGTCATCGAGTCCAGCCCCCCGCCCTCAAGGCAGGACCAAGCTCCGTCTACACCATCCCTGACAGATGTCTATCTAACCTGTTCTTAAATATCTCCAGAGAGGGAGATTCCACCACCTCCCTTGGCAATTTATTCCAATATTTGACCACCCTGACAGTTAGGAATGTTTTCCTAATGTCCAATCTAAACCTCCCCTGCTGCACTTTAAGCCCATTACTCCATGTCCTGTCCTCAGAAACCAAGAGGAACAAATTTTCGCCTTCCTCCTTGTGACACCCTTTTAGATATTTGAAAACCACTATCATGTCCCCCCTTAATCTTCTTTTTTCCAAACTAAACAAGCCCAGTTCATGAAGCCTGGCTTCATAGGCTTCTCTAGACCTTTAATCATTCTTGTCACTCTTCTCTGTACCCTTTCCAATTTCTCCACATCTTTCTTGAAATGTGGCGCCCAGAACTGGACACAGTACTCCAGCTGAGGCCTAACTAGTGCAGAATAGAGCGGCAGAATGACTTCACGAGTTTTGCTTACAACACACCTGTTGATACAACCTAGAATCATATTTGCTTTTTTGGCAACAGCATCACACTGTTGACTCATATTCAACTTGTGGTCCACTATGACCCCTAGATCCCTTTCCGCCATGCTCCTTCCTAGACAGTCGCTTCCCATCTTGTATGTATGGAACTGATTGTTCCTTCCTAAGTGGAGCACTCTGCATTTCTCCTTATTAAACCTCATCCTGTTTACCTCCGACCATTTCTCTAACTTGCTAAGGTCATTTTGAATTATGTCCCTATCCTCCAAAGAAGTTGCAACCCCACCCAGTTTGGTATCATCTGCAAACTTAATAAGAGTACTCTCTATCCCAATATCTACATCATTGATGAAGATATTGAACAGTACGGGTCCCAAAACAGACCCTTGAGGAACTCCACTTGTTATCCCTTTCCAGCAGGATTTAGAACCGTTAACAACAACTCTCTGACTACGGTTATCCAGCCAATTATGCACCCACCTTATCGTGGCCCTATCTAAGTTATATTTGCCTAGTTTATCAATAAGAATATCATGCGAGACCGTATCAAATGCCTTACTGAGTGATTCACAAACTAGGGATAACCATTCCTTCACCTAATTTACCTATGGGCCCTAATCTCCCTAAGGGTATGTCTATTCTACAGAGTTTTTCTGACAAAACCTGAGTTACATCCACACTACAATCGCATTTTTCCGAAAGTAAATCGAAAGAACAGAAAGGTTTTCCTGGTGTTGGTAATCCTCTTTCTATGAGAAAGAAGCCTTTTTCTGAAAGAGTTTTTTCGGAAAAAGGCATGTGTGGACAAGGAAGAGGGAGTTCTTTTGAAAGAAGAGGAAAGAGGAAAAAGCACAGGTGCCCTGGTGTCCACTCCATCCATAGTAATCACAGCTTAATTGTGAGATAGTGTCCATTCAGTGTGGAAATAGCTTTTTTCAATGCGCTTTTGTGTGTGGACGCTCTCTTTCAGAACAAGTTTTTTCAGAAGATCTCTTCCAAAAAAAAGGTTCTTCCAAAAGAAGCCTGCAGTCTAGACATAACCTAAGGCTGTGTCTACATTGGTGTGATCTTGTGCAAAAGCAACTGCTTTTGCGCCAAAACTTGCTGCCTGTCTACATTGGCCGCGAATTCTTGCGCAAGAACATTGACGTTCCAATGTATGAAATCAGTGCTTCTTGTGCAAGAACTCTGAAGCTCCCGCTCAGGACTAAGCCCTCTTGCGCAACTGTTCTTGCGCAAGAGGCCAGTGTAGACAGGCAACATGAATTTCTTGCACAAGAAAGCCCTATGGTTAAAATGGCCATCAGAGCTTTCTTGCGCAAGAGAGCATCAACACTGGCATGGATGCTCTGCGCAAAAGCACATCTCATGTGCAAAGGCACATGCCAGTGTAGACGCTCTCTTCTGGAAGAGTTTTTGCACAAGAAGTCTTCCGCAAAAGAGTTCTTGCGCAAAATCATGCCAGTGTAGACGTAGCCTAAGTGTTCTCAGATGTTGCCTACTGAATTGGGCTCCTATATGTGAGCTTGCCCAAAACTGGAGAGAGAACGCTCTCTCATAACTTTTTAGGCCAGTAGTTAGGATGCTTGCTAGTTTGTGGAAGGACCTCAGTTCAAATTCCCTTTCCATCTCAGTGTGAAAAGGTATTTTAACTAGTCTCTGTCACTTTTCAGATGAGTGTCTTAACCACAGGATTATAAAATTTGCTGATGTGGAAGGGCTTCTTCAGTCTCTTCTGTTTCACTATTGATCAATTCTTTTTTCTTTTAGCAAGGAGCTAGGCCACAGGCCTAGATTCAGAGTCTTCTACCACCACCCTTCTCTGTTAGGTGAGTGTTCTAACCACAAGCCTACAGAGCCATTTTCATATTTATATCTTTCTCTCTTTCCTTCCCTCGAAATGATTCTGTCATGAGACTGAGGGAGTCTAACATCATAATGTGCCATAGCCCAATGGTTAGGGCCTGTACCTAAACAGTAGCAGATCCTTATTCAAGTCACCGCTCCTCATATGGAGGGATAATTTCAGCTGCGGTCTTTCACTTCCCAGCTGAGTATCCTATACTAACAAGATAGATTAAAAGTTATGATGGAAGGTCTCCTTTTCTGGCTTCTTGCTAAAATGGCATAGACCGGTGGTTCTCAAACTTTTTGGGCTCCGGAGCCCTTTACATGCGTAAAAATGTATGCGGAGCCCCAGTGGTCCACTGATTGTATGTGTTGTACCTATCAACATTTCCAGTTTGTTAACCTTGCGGAGCCCCTGGAGGGCTCTGCGGAGCACAGTTTGAGAAACACTGGCATAGGCACTTAATGCCAAGACAGGGTTTTCAGAGGGAGCTGCCTCCTTGCACCAAAGACTTAGGCACATATGTCCAAGAAAGGGATGGGACTTAGTACATAGGCTGCAGCTTGGCATCTACTACCTGGCTTCAGTGAGGAGCTGCCTATGGTGCTCACTTTTGTGAATCCCATTCTGAGGTACTTATCTCTTTCCATTCATTGTTTAGGGAGCGCAGGCACTGAACTCAGGCTTTGTGAATCCCATGCTTTTCTGAGTGCCTAAAAATTTGGTGTGACAATATTCAACATTGCCACACATGCATTTCTTTGTGAATCTAGCCCACGGTGAATGACTCAGATTTGTTATTCTTTGTAACAATCTTCCATAGATAAGAGAACAAATACCTGGTGTGTATAAGAAATGGGAAAAATAAAAATAATCTCATATTCAAAAACCTTGAATGGAAAACACATCAGTCTAACAATAGCTCCAGA